CCCTCTTCTCCTCCTACCTTATCCTCTTTACCTCTCACTCATAAATCAGCTTCTTTTTCTCAAACCTCTTCTTCCTCCCCCTTTTCTCAATCTTCTCCTCCTTCCTTATCCACTTCACCTCTCACTCATAGATTAGCTTCTTTTTTCTCAATCCTCCTCTCCCTCTTCCTCCCTCCTCCCCCTCTTCTCCTCCTTCCTCATCCTCTTCACCTCTCACTCATAAATCAGCTTCCTTTTTCTCAATCCTCCTTCTCCTCTTCCTCCCTCCTCTACTCTTTTCTCTCCTCTTTCCCCTACATTTTTTTTTCATTCTTTCCTTTGTCTCTTAATTAACTAATAATTTTATTATGCATTAATTACAATTCCAAAACTTTCTTCTCAAGGACATTGAATTAAATCACAATAAATTAGAAGAACCTATTGTTACAAACTGATTTATTTGAACTGTTATCCTTATCTTGGTTGTTATAGTTACAATGTTTCATCTATTGTACTCACTGACATACTTCACATCTTGACAGTCATTAATAAAAGTTTAACAACTCCTTACCACTTTATTATCTTAAAGTTAAAAACAGCACAGTAAAAACTAATTTATGAGAGACTGGCTCAATTTTACTCACACATTTGTACATTTCAAGCCAAATGAACGAGTGGCCAGTAATTTGTATGATCTCCATTGCTTTTGATTAAAGCTTGGATGTGGTGGGGGGGGAGGGACTGAAAATCAAGTTGCTATCCGTGAATTCTTTTGTTGGGCCTTCTTTAATAGACTCTCTCTGTGCTTTGGTACTTGAAGGTCAATAATTAACAGATATAGATAGATACATAGATAATGAACAGACAGACATATAGATATATAGATAGATATGACAGACTGATAATGAACAGACTGGAGATAGATAGATAGATAGATAGATATAGATAGATAGATAGATAGATAGATAGATAATAATTTGAACAAAGATAGAAAGATAGATAGATATGAACAGACAGAGATATTAGATAGATAGATAGATAGATAGATAGATAGATAGATAGATGATAATGAACAAAATAGATAGATAGATAATGAACAGACATAGATAGATATAGATAGATAGATAGATAGATAGATAATAATAGATAATGAACAAAGATAGATAGATATAGATAGGATAATGAACAGACTGATAGATAGATGATATAGATAGATAGATAGATAGATAGATAGATGATGAATGATAATGATAGAGATAGATAGATAATAGATATGGATAGATAATGAAGATAGATAGATAATGAACAGACAATAGATATTAGATAGATAGATAGATAGATAGATATAATGAATAAAAGATAGATAATGAATAGATAGATAGATAGATAGATAGATAATGAACAAAGATAGATAGATAGATAGATAGATAATGAACAACAAATAGATATATAGATAGATAGATAGATAGATAATAATGAACAGACAGAATAGATAGATAGATAGATAGATAATAATAAAGATGGATAGATAGATAATGAACAGACAGAGATAGATAGATAGATAGATAGATAAAGATAATGAACAGACAAAGATAGATAGATAGATAGATAGATAATAAACAGAGATAGATAGATATATTTTTAATTTTCAAAGATAGATAGATAGATAGATAGATAGATAGATAGATAGATAGAAGATAATGAACAAAGATAGATAGATAGATAGATAATGATAGATAGATAGATAGATAGATAGAATAGATATAAAAACAACAATTTTTTTAGATAGATAGATAGATAGATAATAAACAAAATAGATAGATAGATAATGAACATTTTAGACATAGATAGATAGATAGATAGATAGATAGATAATGAACAAACAAAGATAGATAGATATATATAATATAACAGAGATAGATAGATAGATAGATAGAATGAATGGATAGATGTTTAAATAATTTTAAAGATAGATTTTAGATAATTTTAGATCGATGATAAATTTAGATTTGATGGATAGATAATTCAGACAGATAGATAGATAGAATTAGATAGACAGATAGATAAATACATAATGAACAAACCAGAGATAGATAGATAGATAGATAGATAGATAGATAGATAGATAGATAGATAGAGAGATACAGAGGTAGATAGATAAAGAACAGATTTGCTTTTTCAATTTAGCATAAATTTAGATCTGGCCTATTCCTCGGCCAGTCCAGCATTGTTACATTGACCCTGTTGAAAAGATTCTGAATGATTTGACCAGTTAAACAGTTTATGCATAATTATTGCATAATGTAGATGCAGTTACAGTTTATCATGTTTAATTCAAATACCTTGCACCATTCATTGTTGTTTCTGGGGGCAAGAAGTAGAATCCATCTGTTCCAGACATGGTTCTAGCACCCTAAATCATATGGGTTGGGGGGGGTGTCATAGTCTGTATTGTACAGGGTGATTGAAAATTAACTCCTTATTTTATGTATTAGTGGCCAAGCCAGGAGTCCTGACTTAATACCCTGTGACTTTTTTCGTTGGGGGTTGGTTAAAGAAGGAAGTCTAATATACCAAAACAAGAGCAAATACAAGAAGTTATGTCTTCCATACCGCAAGAATTCCTGGTGAAATCAATTCATGCAATTCCTGGGTGGCTTGAGAAGCTGTTAGCAAAATCTGGTGCCCATATCAAATTTTAAATAAAACTTCAAACTAAAAACTTTTCTCTCATCCCTTTATTCACCAGACATAGCTCCATCTGACTTCTTCCTGAACAATCAAGAGCGTGAGACTCTTTTTTTTTTTTAAGCATTTCACCCCAAGCAAGGTGGTTACAGAAAATTTGGAGCAAGATCAGATAGGAGTGATAGAAGAAAGGATGAGGAGAAGAGTAGTGGATAGATCACAGCAACAGGAGATGTCGATTGACATTACACTTGAATAGCTGGAGATTATAGCTCACAGGGAAACAGGAATATGGAAGGGAGTTCCATAGGCGAGAGGTGCGAGCCATGAAGCTATTGGAGTAGAAGAGACGGCTACATTTAGGAGTTTATGACAGTGAAGTGGTGAGAGCGGGATGCCAGCCTCGTAAATTTTGGAACTCATGACGTCTGGGAACCAGCGAATGCAGCTCCTCGGAACAATTTCCATGAAAGTATTTGTAGAACAGACAGAGGGAGGCGATGGCACATTTGTGAGAAAGTGACTGTAGACGAGACGCCAGAGCAGGGCCAACTACATTGCAAATCACTATTGCAAGGAGGTTTCCAACTAGCATCCAGTTGGCTGACAAAAATAAACAGGGTTGTCACTCAATACATTTCCTTCTCTTGAATCCTTTTTTTTGAATAGTCATAGTATGCTGGATATGAAATGAAGGGTGAAGGGACTTTAAATTGTCATTTATTTACTCATATCATATTATGATTCTTTGTGTAGAGGGAATGGCCATGGTTAAATGTAAATAAATAGCAGAGCTGCCAAACAAACAGAATTGACAAAGTTTACAATAAATAATAACAAAAAATGAAAAGAACAGGGAAGTATATATTTTGCTTGAAAATGGAACAGGACTAGGGCCTTTAATTCTATAATCGAATTTGAAGGTTTTAGTTTCTGTTTTTGAAACATGATAAATGCTGCGTAGTGACGGAACCATATTTTTAAATTAGTAAATTTATAATATATGTGTGTGTGTGCATGTATATATGTATATATATGTGTGTATGTATGTATATATATATATATATGAGTGTGTGTGTGTATACATATGTGTATATGTGTGTGTATATATGTATGTGTGTGTGCATGTATATATATGTGTGTGTATGTGTGTGTATATATATATATATATATATATATATATATATATGTAAAGCAAACAATATATACATGGTAAATTAACAGTAATATGATGGGCCAATCAAGAGCTATCCGCAGGAAGTAGTTTAAATGCCACCTGATAGGATGGCTTTTAAGCTGGTATATATATATATATATTATAAATGTAAAAGTTAAGCTTAAATATTAATGCAATACTTAAATGCAGCGATCAATTTTGAGATCTTCTATAGTTTATTGTTACCTATCGCATCTACACATTCCTACCTATTGTGATGACGGCCCAATAAAGAGCCATCCGCAGGAGGTAGTTTAAATGCCACCAGATAGGATGGCTTTTAAGCTGGTATATATATATATATATATATATATATATGTATTATAAATGTAAACAGTAAGCTTAAATTTTAATGCCATACTTAAATGCAGCGATCAATTTTGAGTTCTTCTGTAGTTTATTGTTGCCTATCGCATCTATTTCTCCCTAACTATTGTGATGAGAGCCCCAATCAAGAGCCCTCCGCAGAAGCTAGCGTAAATGCCACCCAAGAGGTCGGCTTTTAGGCTAGTTATTTCTTAAAATAAGAATTCTTACTTATCACCAATAGGAGTGAATATCAAATAAATAGAGCAAGCACACACACACACAAAACAAAACTAAAGCCCTTCTTTTTAAACTGTTGAATAAAATCTGAAAGAAAATTGAAGGGTGAAGGGGATTTAAATTGTCATTTATTTACTCATATCATATTATGATTCTTTGTGTAGAGGGAATGGCCATAGTTAAATGTAAATAAATGATCAATTTTGAGTTCTTCTGTAGTTTATTGTTACCTATTGCATCTACTCATTCTTACCTATTGTGATGACGGCCCAATAAAGAGCTATCCATTAAAAGTAGTTTAAATGCCACCAGATAGTATGGCTTTTAAGCTCGATATATATATATATTAAATGTAAACGGTAAGCTTAAATATTAATGCAATACTTAAATGCAATTTTCAATTTTGAGTTCTATATTTTTATTGTTACCTAAATATATCTACACCTTCCTACCTATTGTGATGACGGCCCAATCAAGAATCCTCAACAGGAGCTACCTTAAATAATAATTTTAAGACTTAAACTTTACAAGAAATAACTCAGGAGTGAAATAACTGACATCTATGTCCTCCATGCCAAATACCAAATGCCAAAACCTCTCAGTTTCTTGTTTACAGACCAGTTCCACTTATTGCTGTATTTCAAGGAGTCAATTAACAACACTGACATGATATTGGACTATTTAGTCGCACCTAAAAAGGTTATCAGTCAAATGTGAATTCTTATGTCATCTCATATAGACATTACAGGTGATTACATGTGGCTAGAAAGACACAGGTATATACAAGACATTCCATCATATCTACCTATCTCGAGCCAGATTTAATTGTATTAATTTAAGCAATAAATAAAGAAATAAAAATAAATATTTGATTTCTTGTTTTATGTATCTATCCACTGAGTAATTAATATATATATGTGTATGTTATGATGTTGATTTGGGTTTAGTAGAGACAAACGCCAAATAACATGTAACAATAAAAAGGGTTTTAATAGGTTGGTAAAAAGGTACAGAAATCACCTGAGTAATCAATAACTAGCTTAGCTAAGAACTTCTCTGTCTATCTATCTTCCCCATGTCAACTGACATGCCACTATTTAAAGTCTTTGTTCACAGACGCAGACAAGTTCATCTTCAAGAGGGGTGGTAGGTTTCCGACACAACAGTGTATATACTATATTGATATGTACATATATATATATATATATATATATATATATATAAAATATCAAATATATATATATATATATATATAGATACATATACAAATATATATATATATTCAGTCTGTTCATTATCTATCTCTCTCTCTATCACAGTCTGTTCAATATCTATCTATCTATTTATCTATCTATCTATCTATCTATCTAAGTCTATTCCTACCTATATCAATCAATTCATTATCTAAGTCTATTTTATCTATCTATCTGAATCTATCTATCTATCTATCTATCTATCTATCACAGTCTGTTCATTATCTATCTATCTATCTATCTATTCAAAAAACTCATTTCATTATCTATCATTTATCTATCTATCTCATTTTTTCTATCTATCTATCACATCTATTATCTATCTATCTCTATCTATCTATCACAGTCTGTTCATTATCTATCTATTTATCTATCTATCTTTTATCTATCTATCTATCTATCTATCTATCTATCTATCTGTCTATCACAGTCTGTTCATATCTATCTATCTATCTATCTATCTATCTATCTATCTATCTATCTATCTATCTATCTATCTATCTATCTATCTTTCACAGTCTGTTTATTATCTATCTATCTATCTATCTATCTCAGTCTGTTCATATTGATCTATCTATCTATCTATCTATCTATCTATCTATCTCAACCTGTTCAGTTACTATCTATTATCTATCTATCTATCTCAACCTGTTCATATCTATCTATCTATCTATCTATCTATCTCAACCTGTTCATATCTATCTATTAATCTATCTATCTATCTATCTATCTATCTATTGCAGTCTGTTAGATTATCTTATTATCTATCTATCTATCTATCTATCTATCTATCTATCTATCTATCACAGTCTGTTAATTATCTATCTATCTATCTATCTCAACCTGTTCATTATCTATCTATCTATCTCAACGTGTTCATATCTATCTATCTATCGCAACCTGTTCATATCTATCTATCTATCTATCTATCTATCTCAACCTGTTCATATCTATCTATCTATCGATCTATCTATCTATCTATCTCAGTCTGTTCATATCTATCTATCTATCTATCTATCTATCTATCTATCTATCTATCTATCTATCACCTGGCCTGCATGA